AAAATTCAGGTATCAATTAGTTCTTCTAACAGCAATCAAACCTCTTCTGGTTCTACCAAGGAGGAAGCGGTGGCTATTTCTTCTTCACATTGAAGTGCGTACTGAGTTTTGTCGCTCAGATCAAGAGCCGAAGAATGCTGATCAGATGGAATCGTGTTAGGTCTCGGCGGTGAATTCATCGGCGACAGAGATTTTCCCGGTGGAATCGAATTAGGTCTCGACGGTGAAATCATCGGCGACGGAGATTTTTCCGGTGGAATCTAGTTAGGTCTCGGCGGTGAAGCCGTGGTAGCTCTCGGCAGCGGTGAAGTCACATGGAAATTTGGTTTCTTGATGTGATTGCGGAGAAAAAAGGTTCTAATTCTCTTTGAGAACATGATTATCAATAGGTAATATAGTGGATAAATAACAATTAAATCAAAATTCATATTTACTATTCACTAAAGTTCTAAATATAGAATCTATATTTACAGTAAATATATATATATATCTTTATCTCTATCTCTCTCTTCATTTCTCTCTCTTTTCATTAATTCAAATACAGTTAATATTATAAAATTTATATATTATCTCTAACATATTTATTATTTATAATTATGCTTTCATAGAAAAATGGATCTAATTCTCTGACCCTAAAAGAGAAAGAGAAGGTCAACTATAACTTGAATTTTTTTTTTAATTATTTTTTAATACGAAAATAATGGAAACGACATAATAACCGGAGAAAGATTGATTATTTAGTGATCCAACCAATAATTATCCCCCCTGAACACCCCACCCGATCCGATTGGATCACTTAAAGAAAAATCAAAATCAATCGAACCTAATTTCCTTTTTCTTCTTCTTCTTATGAAAAATCCCCAATTTCTTGAATCCGTAATCGGATTCCGCTACTCTCTAGGGTTTTTCAAATTCAATCGACCGAATTGAGCTAAATCCCTAATCTCTGAGAATTTGTTGTGAAGCAAAAGATGCACACTCGAAGAAGAATAATGATTTAGCCCTTTGATGCTTGTTCACTCTGCTTAAAGCCCTTCATCGATCCACTGTGTTGCCAAAAGGGACATGTTTTCTGTAAGGAGTGTATCCTCGAATGTCTTCTTGCACAGAAGAAAGATATCCAGAGGTAAATCAATGATAGTTCCTTATGGTTTCGTGTTTTTGAAGTAGAAAAATCTTTGACTTGGTACTTTTGGTATCTTGAAAAGAAGTGTGTATTATTGAAAGCTGGACGCTTTGGATTGTTTGAGTAGTTGAATTGAATGTGTTTCCACAGTTAGTCACTGGTCCTGGAACCCTGTGTTTGAATTGAATGTAATACAGATTATGTGTGTTAAAACGTGGCCTTTCTTTTTACAGGAGGCTTGTTGCGCATGCGGCTCAAAAGAAGCAAGAGAAGGATGAAGAAGATGAGATGTTAACTTTGCAAAAGGCAAGAGAGCTCGATGAGTTTGATCAGCAAAATCATGGAGCAATGCAAACCAAGAGAAGAATGGTTTCCACGGTGCAAACAGTGTGAAAACAACATCTTTCGAAGAAGAAGCGCTTAAGACAATGAAAGCTTTCTGGCTTCCCTCAGCTACACCACAAGCTTCAGTCAAAACTGAAGCTCCAGACACACACACTGTATGTCCAGAGGGCAAGGAGAAGCTCAAGCTTAAAACACTTTCCCCTATACATTTCACAGAAGATAACAGCGAGGAGGATGAGAACAAGAAGAAGTCTTCGTCCTCCAGCTCTTATGACAAAACCCACATTTGCCCGAGCTGCAAAGTCACTCTCACCAACACGATGTCTGTGATCGCTCTCAGCTCATGTGGGCACGTCTTCTGCAAGAAATGTGCAGAGAAGTTCATGCCAGTCGACAAAGTCTGCCTCGTCTGTGACAAACCGTGCAAGGATAAGAACTTAGTTAACCTGAAGAAAGGAGGAACGGGCTTTGCCAAACACGATGATCATCTGGAAGCTAAGGACTACAAGCATTTGGGCAGTGGTTCTGGTTTAGGACTTGTGAGGCCAGTTAAGACATAGAACAACACATCAATGTCTAAAGTGTTGAATTGATTGAATCCTTTGATAACTTGAGATTTTCTGAGTCATAAAGTTTTGTTGGTAACCAGTTTTAACGAAACGTCTTTAAACGGCAACATTGTATTAATGGAGGTTGTTCAACTACAATAACACATTTAGGACTCGTAATTGTTAATTAATAACAACTAACCCATAAATCAAGATGCGATTTAAACAATATATAGCGAGGCCCTGAATTAGCCAAGTCGTCTCTTGTTTAGAAACGTTACTAATTCAGTGTTTTGATTCACAAATCTCTCTAATCGTAGCGTTGCATTTGATAAGTTTAGTTCACTTGTTTAGAAAAACTATAAAATCTAAATATAAGGAATTTCGTATAAGTTGAACAGATAAGAATAAACAACATCAATCACTCTCCACTAGCCGAAATATCTACGTGGCAACAGCTGTACACTTAATAATGACAGTTTTTAGCTGGGTTTTATCAATAATTAATTACCCGCCAAATCACCCACGCTTTAA